GAAATGTAGAATGAGGGAGATCTCCCTAATTGGAGGTTTCAGAGGCTGACATCTACGCTACATGTGGCATGTAGAGTAAGTATTCAAGTTACATGATGATTCTAACAAGTCCATTGTTTTGATCCAAATTTTACCAATAATTCGGCCAATTCCGAAACAACAATTAAAATGTCTTCATTGTGAAACTGAAGAAGATAAGAAAATGTTATAAATTGACATTAGAATAAGCCCTATAAACGTATGGAGATATCTGATGGAAAATAATATTCATGAAAGGATAACATGCTACATTTTATGATAAAAAAAAAGAAAAATGCAATGAAAAAAGTTAATATCTGGTCAAAAATCAAGTCAAAAGCTTTCAAACGAAGAATTCATACTATCTACAGCTACTTACACTTCACAACGGGGCATAAAACATGAAATGTAACATTTTAGATTAACAATCGAGTAAAAGTTAACAATATGTAAACAAACTTTATCAACATGCAAGTTTGCCAGGAAGCTCAAGGACTGGATTATCTCAGGCTCCACAATAAAGCCAGGTTATATTATAGTAGATTTGAAAAGGAGATACTCTTAATATTGGTTGATACAAAATTGTAGGAAACGAAACAAATTAATCAATTCTCATGTTACTGTTATGTGGAAATATTTCTGAAAATGATCATTTTTGTGGTACAACACTTGATTTGTCTTCCCGCAAAAAACTATTATTGAATCTGTCAGTTTTGTAAAAGAAAAAACTAAGGAATATGTAAGTTGGGAACTACAGTACAAGTACTCGTTATTTCAATGTAGGAACAGAACTGTTAAATAAGAAGTCAAGCTAACCAGTTCTACTGGATAGGTTAATGAAGTCCAAAAGAGATTTTTTTGTCCTATTACTTTCAAATTCATTTTCAAGTGATTTTCCCGTGTAACGAGTGAAGTGAAAACTTCTGTGAGATCTAGTGATGACTAGAATTTTACAACACAATATCATGGTGTAGAATTTCACAACACGATATCATGGTGCTACGTTTATGATGATGTCATCTAAAGTGTCTAATGTCTATGTAACTACTGGTATGAAAATATATCAGAAATGTGTATCATAAAAATTCAGAAATGTTTCGTAAAAATTCTTCTGACACCACAACACTTACTCTCCAAGTTTAACCTCCATATATTCATCATATTTTCCTAACTATGGCCGAGATAAAGTTCTTTTGCACCAAACTGAACCAATGAATAATGAGATTGATTTTATATTGCTTCAAAAGTTTAGCTACGTATTTCTACGAATGAAGGACTTATGTCTGATTATATTGCATGTTCCTCGTTAACATGTACTGTTGTCATTAATTTCTTCTTGACATGGAAATGATTTCTTATCAATGAGAAACAAATGACATTCATATGAAGATAATCTACCATGAAAACTTTTCCAGTTATGGAGCTGAAAATGTTGATGAAAATTTCCTCAACTATTACCGGGATATTTTGCACATTAATATTCTCCCTCGTAAACAGATGATCAGATCATCCCAGAAATTGACAACAAAAAAAATGTCAATGGATTTCCCCTACATATATGTGATACAAATGTGAGAATGTTACGAAATACTTTACTGCACTGGACATGAGTTACTGGTAGTTCAGACCCTTGTTATTGTGAACAAGTTTCCGTCAATCAGATTAAAAACTGCAGATGACATTGCCTGAAAATTATGAGGTAGGCCAGTAGCGGTCAACAACAAAATATGACATCACATGTATGTAAAATGTGTTATGAAAGACTTATATGTGTGGTGGCAGTAATACAGAGCCTGTTGTTATGACAACCGATCAACAAAGTGCATAGGTACACCGAGACCTAAAAGATTCTTCTTGTCCTGCTTGAATTTCACAACATCCATCTTCCTACACATGTAATCCCAACACAGTTCATCGAGTGCAGGTACTCGAAGCCAGATTCTCTGGACGGCATTGGTCCTGATGGTGTCAATCCGTGAGACACCCCCGAACACATACATACAGCCCTCCTGTAAGTGTAAATACAAATGATATAAACAAATGTATTTGTTAATTTCATTAAATTTGAAAATCTGAAGGTATTTAATTTAAAGATACAGTACTGATATACCGAAACTACCGGTACACGCATATATGTTTGTACATTAAGTGCGTTCCTTATACATTCAGTTGGTTCCACTTATGATTTTTTTTTTAAATTGTAGTAATTACACTTGCCCAAGCCTTGAAACAATGAATTAGATTTTTATATTTTCTAATAGTTTTATATACATACAAAAAAACATAACCATCAGTCACACATCATGGAATTATGATTATATCACACACATTAATCATGAAACAATCCCAGACTTCAGTATTAAAATTTCAGTTGTTGCTTAACAATATTTTTTAAAAAATCAATTCAAATCTGGTGACAAAGTATTTATTAACAATATATATACAGTGTATATATGTACACGTATAAAAATATTATCTGATATATAAGGAACAAAACAAATTAAGGATAATTCTAATTTGGACTTGAATCTTAATTAATTTTTTCATGATCTCGAGGGACCGATCATGAACTTATACATATCAAAAAATATTTCTAGAAAAATACATAAAGGAAAAATAATAAAAGTTAAATACCTTGGTGACATCAGCTGCATGGAAGTAAACAGGTATGTGGAGACTAGCAGACAGCTTTGTCCAGGTATACGTCACCAGACACAACTTCCATATGTCACTGAAAATCTCATGGGAATCAAATCCACCACATATGTAAGCGCCTGAAAATGAGGATACAGGGTTTCATGAGAAGACTGATTCGGAATCATTTTTATTATTTTATTTCTCGACTTTCTGTATAAAAGTTTTATTTCACAAGCAAAACTTTAGTTGTTTGTTACAGCCCATATATATATAAACAGTAAACTAAAATACTGTGAAATATTATCACAATACAGTATATGTAAGCTCTTGAATTCAGGATACAGGGTTTCACCAGAAGATTACAATTTACAACTGAATCGTTGTAATTTTTTTCATTTCTAAACTTTCTGTATAAAAGCTTAATTTCACTAGTAAGACTTTGGTAGTATGATCCTTGATTTTTTTTTCAGGCGTTGTAATAATAAACAATATACAGTAGAAATTTGAAATGGTAAAAATGTCATGTCTCAACCTACCTTTTTCATAATACACACAGCTATGACACTTCCTTGGAGTAGGGTAACCTGCAAAAACAAACCAAAATTTCTACCCAGAACGACAACAAATTCCTTCAACCTTCAAGTATGATGTTGCATTACAGACCAGGTAATGTACTGGATGTGAGCATGGAAGCTCAAGAGTATATTCTACATGTTTATATCTTGATCTAAAATTGTTACTTTACATAAAATCTTAATACAAGTTTTTTTTAGTTTACATACATATGAATAAATCACTCAAAAACATGTATTATCAGATTACTAGATCTATTACTATTTCTGACTTGTAGTACAGCAATTTTGCCAATTACAATATCATATAAAAGTAATTATTTTTTTAGTTGAAATGAAATGTACTGTCAGACCAAAATTACCTCCAATTATATATATACATAATTACCACACTGAGAGTTAAAGGTAAACAGTCAAGATGACCAAATCAAACTTTTTGGAATGTTGGGAAGTTGTGGGGGCGGATTGGGAGGGAGATGTCAGTCCCTTTTTTAATAAACAGTTGATTATCATTTATCTAAGGATTGTTTCATGGAATTTTGGTGAAAATCTACCATTTCCATTCAGATGAGATGTCATTTCAAGGTTTTGTACTCTGTGACCCCTTATGGCTATGACCTATAGCTTACTAGCGGGTCAGCCTTTTCTTGATTATATATTATGATCCCCACAACCAATGATTAACATTTTCTTTCATCAAAATTTGGCAAATGGTTTCTTAGAATTAAAAAAATATATTGTGACATAATTAAGAACAAAAGGCAACCATGATAGATCACCTGAATAATCCAGGTTGCCCAATATATATATATATATTGCATCGACAGGTCATTTCTGTCCAGCTAATACATCCAATGTTATGTCATAACGTATTACTAATGGTTATAAGTTATAACAGAACTTTCATGGAAGACAACCAATGGGCGTTATCTACCCCTCTACCATATTTTGGCCCCATATGATCTACGATAACGTACCATTTTTGGGATCTGGCTTTGTCTTTATTTCGTCCCACATACATCTTTCAAAATGGAATGCTGGCATCTGTAACACACATTATTACAACATTTATTAAAATGTAAATGTTGAAATGAATCGGTAGAAATTTTCTCTGAAGAACTTCCATCTGAAAATGCTAAATAAGTACTAATTATAATTATTTCTTTGTCCTAGGCTCGGTTATAACAGGAACAAGGACTTAAAGCACCATCAACCAATCAATGAAAGACATAAAAAAAAATTATCTCAAATTTAGAAAAAATGTAATTATTCAATTATCTGGATGTATTTGTCAAGGACCTTAATTAGAATACCTGTAGTTTAACTGTAAAGATTCAAACTGATCTCTAATTATAATCAAATAAAGAAACAATTCAATTCCAGCATTTTGAGATAATGTCAAGAAGTCAGATTGAAAGTTTCTATATCCTTCAATGTACCTTGTCAAATCCAAACGAGGTGGAGGCAGTGCCACCCCCGAACAGGTAGAGCCTTGTCCCGTCACTGGCTACCTCATGTCTGTACCTACAAAATCCACAGATTAACACAAATGTTAAAATATTTGATGGAGTAACTTAGAAATTACTAACAAATTAAAGACAGTGTAATATTGATGTCAAAAATACTGACGAACTGATTTAAATGATTTTTTACTGAAGGTGATCATTGGAAGCACACCTGGATATTGATGTCGGAGTTAGGTTCACAACTTTATTATCCTTAATAACACGCACTTTTAACACACAATATATCCTTTTGGGTTTGTTCGCTCTATGTATTGAATTGATCATTAAATCCAGGGTTCTACTGTACACAAAGGATCTGTGAGCTGTATAAGGAAGTATACTACGAACCTGCTCTCTGGGATGTACTTTTGGTTGTCGGCTTCAAGGTGTGTCCACGTGGCCGTCCGTAGGTCCAGCTGGTGGATGTCCATGTTGTAAACAAACCCTGACGTCCCCCCAACAATGTACAAGTAGTGACCCACTACATTCATGGACTGAAAGTAATCATAACACAAGTTAGCAACCGGACATAAATACATATACACACAATAGGTAATAATTTGTTAATTAAACATACTGAACAGGGGCAAAGATAATGGAAATAGCAAACATGGGACAAAATATCACAACTTTTAAATACTATACTTATTAACTTAGAGGTCACATAAATAAATAAACTGGTAAAATTTCAACCGATCTGACCCAAACCACTCTATTTATATAGATCATGACATGTTATCCAGTCAGAAGATATGTATTTTAGGTGGTCACCTTTGGTTATTATATTAGTTAGAAGTATTGAATATTCATGAAGTCACAACAGAATTGGAGTTTACAGCTTATAATATGCATCAGATAATCAGAATCTGTGGTGGCCATCTTGAATTTGAGGAGAAGATTAAAAATGTTCGTTTTTAACAAATAACTTTTGCTGTATTTTACACTGATCTGTAAGCTGATATGACTGTTAATACATATTTGCTGTAAATTATCAATTTTTAATAGTATGCATGTGTACAGTCAATTATATGACCATTGAACTGATGTTATTTAAGAAAGTTTCAAACATAATAGGAATCACCATATTTTAGACTTCGGTGCTATAACTATACTTTGTAACCTCAAATTCAAATAAAATAATAGACATTTTTGAGTACAGGTACAATTACAATAGGATATCTATTTAGACCATGGTATCAATATTACTCACAAAAGTTAGTATATAGTGCAATTAATAATAGTTCTCAAGAACAACCTATATCTGATTAAAAGAGAAAAAAAA